TTTGCTGACAAGACATGAAGTCACTGTGATAAGGTCATGAGATCTTGGAAACACATGTTTTCGATTTGAAATGTAGGGTATCGTCTGAACTTTTTGTCCTTCTATATGTCCCAAATGCCAGTTTTGAACGCCGTGCAATGCATGTTCTTCTACGAGCCCGAGGGCGTCCTAACCGCAGCTATCGTATTGCCACAAGAGTGATGTCTGATCCCCCAAAGCATTTCAGTGGTCGTCCTGCACTCCTAATCCTGCCGGCCATCTGCCGTGGACTGCACATCGGATAGTCTTGGCCGTTGCCGTGACCTCAACCTGATGCTGCGACCTGGTCAACCTCCATCGGGGCTGTCGCGGTGGTCGTGCGCGTTCCGTTGTTGGTCGTAAGGCCAATCGCTGCCTCTGCTTCTTTCTGCGAGTATGGTTCTTCGCGAAGTTGCTTGACTCTGCAGATTGATTAGAAACAATAATCATGATCGTAAACACTGCGATTCCTACCTGCGCTTATGGACCTTGCCCTTCTGATGTGCGACAAAGTTGGCGTCGCTCTCAAAAAACTTTGCGCATTCTTTGCAGTAGAATTCGCCCAGACCGGGCAAATCTTCTATGGGCTTCGCATCCTTGAATTCAGCGAGATGCTTCTCGTCGCGCAGGTCGGCGTGGATCTGGTCGAGGTCGCGCGTGTGTCGACGTGTCTTTTTCTTGGAGTCTTGTCCGCGTATGGCTGGCATGGTGGGCAGTATCCGCGGCCGTCGGTTATCCGTGTGGAATCGTGATGGTCGGCTATAGAGAAAGTTGCAGTGTGGGGACACCTGCCGACGGGGGCCCGTGCCCGGTCTGCAGGTCAGAAAGACTTGTGGAGCTAGGTCGAATCAGGTGCTGGTAGATGCTACTGTCGCTCCAGACCCGAAATTTGCCATGTCTGCAGGCCTGCAAGCTGACTCGGCACACAATTGTTGAGTCGGAAAAGGACGCGCAGGCCGCCGGCAGCAGTGCGCGCGTGAAAGTGCTATCGCAGAACGCCAATCACCTGCAAAAGGAACGAGCGCGGGGTTGGTGAACCGCTGCCGGCTATGACGTCTGGGTGAACACCTATAGCTTCCCGACACATGGCTGCGCGGCCTCCAAGAAGTGAAATACCAGCGGGCAGCCAGTCGCACACAGCGCAATTACTCTCTCCATAATTGCGTCTCCATTACATCGCCCTTGCACGTGAAGCGGGCCAACGGGACTGCGCTGCCGACCTGTTTCTGGTTCTGGCGCCGAGGTATTCCGCACGCAGCTGGGGCTAGACGAACCAATCACGCCCCTCGTGATCCTCATTAGTTATCGCCCAACTTGAGGCAGCTTCTGACGTTCTTTTCCTCCGCTTCCTCCATCACTCTTCTCTCCACACCACTCCCCTCCTCAAACTTCACCATGCAGAAGTTCTCGAGGCTCGGCCGCCTGGGCCAGAGCCTTGCTTCGCGCAGGCAATTGGCCACCGTCAGCGATGCTCCCCTCTCTCGCAAGGTCGAGATGACCAACTGGGAGAAGGGCCACTACATCAACTACCAGAAGATGAACGAGAACCTCGAGATTGTTCGTGCCCGCTTGAACCGCCCGCTCACCTTTGCCGAGAAGATTCTCTACTCCCACTTGGACGACCCCCACGGTCAAGAGATTGAGCGCGGCTCCAGCTACCTCAAGCTCCGCCCCGACCGTGTAGCTTGCCAGGATGCCACCGCCCAGATGGCCATTCTTCAGTTCATGTCAGCCGGTCTGCCCTCCGTTGCCACACCCACTACCGTCCACTGCGACCATCTTATCGAGGCCCAGGTTGGTGGTGAGAAGGATTTGGAGCGCGCCAACGAGATCAACAAGGAGGTCTACAACTTCTTGTCCACCTCTTGCGCAAAGTACAACATTGGTTTCTGGAAGCCCGGCTCTGGTATCATTCACCAGATCGTGCTTGAGAACTACGCTTTCCCTGGTGCTCTCCTCATTGGTACCGACTCGCACACTCCCAACGCCGGTGGTCTCGGTATGGCCGCCATTGGTGTCGGTGGTGCCGACGCTGTCGATGTCATGGCTGGTCTCCCCTGGGAACTGAAGGCCCCCAAGGTCATTGGTGTTAAGCTTACTGGCAAGCTCTCCGGCTGGACTGCTCCCAAGGGTACGTATTTGCAATATTGGGTTTCGAAGCGGGGCAATCACGCTAACGAAGTCTATAGACATTATCCTCAAGGTCGCTGGTATCCTCACCGTCAAGGGTGGGACTGGTGCTATCGTCGAATACCACGGACCCGGTACCGAAAGTCTCAGCTGCACCGGCATGGCGACTATTTGCAACATGGGTGCTGAGATCGGTGCCACCACCTCGCTCTTCCCCTTCAACGACCGCATGTACGACTACCTTGCCGCCACCAAGCGCCGCGACATTGGTGACTTCTCCCGCGAGTACGCCGCCCAGCTCCGCGAGGATGAGGGTGCCGAATACGACGAGCTCATCGAGATCAACCTTGACGAGCTCGAGCCCCACATCAACGGTCCCTTCACTCCCGATCTAGCTACACCCATCAGCAAGTTCAAGGAGGCTGTCAAGGCCAACAAGTGGCCTGAGGAGCTTAAGGTCGGTCTCATCGGTTCCTGCACCAACTCTTCCTACGAGGATATGAGCCGTGCTGCCTCGATTGCTGAGGACGCCATGTCCCACGGTGTCAAGGCCAAGTCTCTCTTCACTGTCACCCCTGGATCCGAGCAGATTCGCGCCACTATTGAGCGTGACGGTCAGCTCAAGACCTTCGAGGAGTTCGGCGGCATGGTCCTCGCGAATGCTTGCGGTCCGTGCATTGGACAGGTATGTTGTATCCCAGTCATGGTAGCCTGGAGGTATCCGATACGTTTTGTCTTGTCTCTTGATAAAACAAACGCTCTCGTATGCTTCAAGGCTACCTTTTCCCTCCCTATTTCAGCGTAGCCTGGAGGTATTCGATACGTTTTGTCTTGTCTCTTGACAAAATAAACGTGGTCGTATGCTTCAGGGTTGTTGTATTTTGCTTTATTTCAAGGTAGCCTGGAGGCATTCGATACGTTTTGTCTTGTCTCTTGACAAGTTAAACGCCCTCGTATGCTTCGAGGCTACCTATCATCCTCTACTTCTCAGAGCTCGAATGCTGACGACCCAACGGTGGGACAGAAAAGATGTAAAGAAGGGCGAGGCCAACTCGATCATCTCGTCGTACAACCGTAACTTCACTGGCCGTAACGACGCAAACCCCGCCACCCACTCTTTCGTCACCTCCCCCGACCTTGTCGTTGCTATGACTATTGCTGGAACGCTCGACTTTAATCCCCTTGTCGATGAGCTGACTGGAGCCGACGGCAAGAAGTTCAAGCTTAAGGAGCCCTCCGGCATGGGTCTCCCCGCCAACGGCTACGACCCAGGCCAGGACACTTACCAAGCGCCTCCATCTGATCGCTCATCCGTCTCCGTCGCTGTCTCGCCCACCTCCGACCGTCTCCAGCTTCTCGAGCCTTTCAGTAAGCAAACTCCATGTACAAATGCATAACGCATACTGACTTTTCAAGGTGCCTGGGATGGAAAGGATGCGAAGAACCTTCCTATTCTCATCAAGTGCCAAGGCAAGACCACTACCGACCACATCTCTATGGCCGGTCCCTGGTTGAAGTACCGTGGACACTTGGACAACATCTCCAACAACATGTTGATCGGTGCCATCAACGCTGAGAACGGCGAGGCCAACAAGGTCAAGAACCTTCTCGACGGATCTTACGGTGCCGTTCCTGATGTCGCCCGCAACTACAAGAAGAACGGCGTCCCATGGGTTGTCATGTAAGTACCTTTCCTATACACGCTTATCAGCCTCTTGCTAACTTCGATCGCAGTGGAGACTGGAACTACGGAGAAGGCTCTTCCCGTGAGCACGCTGCGCTTGAGCCCAGGCACTTGGGTGGCGCTGCCATCATCACCCGCTCCTTCGCTCGTATCCACGAGACCAACTTGAAGAAGCAGGGTATGCTTCCCCTTACCTTCTCCGACCCTGCCGACTACGACAAGATCGGTCCCAATGACCGTGTGACCTTGGCTTCCACCGAGCTCGCCCCCGGCAAGCCCCTGACCATGACCGTCCACCCCGCCGACGGATCCAAAGAATTCCAGGTCAAGCTCTCGCACACCTTCAACGAGGGCCAGATCGAGTGGTTCAAGAACGGCAGCGCTCTTAACACCATGGCCAAGAATGCTAAGCAGTAAATGCGTAGAAGAGAAAACGAATGAAAACAATCACCACCGGGGATGTAAATACGGAGGATGGAATACCCCGCAAATGCTTCACGATTGGGGATGAAAGTCAAATCAGGGGTGGAGCAGGAATATGAAGAGAGAGCTGGGCGTCCGCAGACGGGCGCAGCAGTAACGGCTCCTGGGTCGATCTTTCGGGCTCAAAGTAGCTGGGTTTGCTTGTATTTGTGATGATTAGCATGCAATGTATGACTGATTTTTTCTTGTTACAATCTGTATCTGCTGTGATATGAGTGACGATATGGAATGTGGCTGGCGAAGACGTGTGGTCGTTTTGTTTGCGTACGCAAAGACACAAGGCATAGTTAAGTATACATTGCGATTCTCGCCCGTGTGCTGTAATCGGCAACTGCTGCGAATACCTCCAGGGTACGTCTTATCGTTTTGTACAACTAACAAAACTTGCATGTATTCGCCCCGGCTACTCCTAGAACTCGAGTACACAAGCTATGACATTCACACGGTGCGCGATTGAGGATGACGCGCACAGGCTGAGGCACGGGGCACGATACCGCCGCAAACGTGCGAGTGGATCCTGGACCCGTTCCCGCTAGTCTCTGGGACAACGGCCGACAACAAACACGCTCGGCAGTTCTTCAACGTCTGGACATCCTTGCGCGAACAACCTTCTTGGAACCAATCGCGCACACAACAGCTTGAATATCCTTACATATTACAAGATTGCATATCACATATCCTCAACATGGCGCGTCTACGCAAACCGAGCCCGAACGAACCCAGTATCTTTATGCCGCCGTCCGAGACGAGAGCGAGCCGATCCAGCCCTCGAAAAGCCACACTACGATACGCATCATCGCAAGAAGATGACAGCTCGATACTTGTGCCAAAGAGGTCGAGGCGCACCGCACAAGACATCAGCATATCGCAAGACGAAGAGCACTCCTTCCGCATACCATCGATAGCAACGCCCAAGGATGCGATCAGCCCCCGCAAACAACGAGTGTTGCGACCGGTCGAGAGCAATAGCCGACTCCTTCGAAAATTGAGTGACGAAAGCCTGGCAAGCCCAGAGAAGAAACAAAGAGAGCGGAGAGTGCGAAGTGGAACAACAGATACAGATGTGGGAAATAGGAATGGACTCATGTATGCCAAAAGCCTGGCTAGAAGCGTGGTAAAAAAGCAGAACAAGAAGGGCAAGATCAATGTCGTAGGAGAAGTCGAGGCACAAGAAGCCGCCCAGAGGTCACGAAGCAGAGAACACAAGAGCACAGAGGAGGCAGTCGCGCAAGACGACGAGGATGCCGAGGCCGAAACAAGTCTGTGGTGTGGCGATGAGGAAGCAGAGACACAAGAAGAGGTCGCTGAACCAGTCATCGAGATCAGCGAGGATGATGAAGAGGACGAGCCTGTTGTAAAGTCACGAACAAACCAGCGACAACCGCGCACACGGCGCGTTGTATCTGACAGCGAGGAGGACGAGAGTGAGCTAAGCGCACCACAGCCTACCAAGCAGCCTCAGCGACCAATCTTCAAGATTCCCGAACTCAAACCGCCGACTGATTTGACTTCCATGCGACCGCCACATCGAAAGGGTCATAATACGATATCAAACTGGGCGCAGGAGGTTGTCGACCTCACCGACTCGCCAGAGGCCCCGGAATCTTTCGTGCTTCCTGAACGCACCCACGCCCGATCAAGCTCTTTCGCAGCATCTTCTCGGCCCACTAGCTCAGCATCGAATGGTCCGCTTGCGATTCTTACGTATTCGCCCACACCTACCAAGCAACGCTCGCCCCGCAAAGCTCCGCCCATCTCGCGACCAGCCACTCCTCCCCTAGCACCTCACAGTCCCACCAAGCTCGTCTCGCCCTCCAAAAAGAAGCCCGTGATCCCCAAGGCGGCCGATCTAGACGGAAGACCAAGCCTTGACGCGTTCTGGAATCCTGCAGCTGTGAACGACTGGACTGACCGCCACTCGCCAGCTAAGCAGCTCGTGTCGCCCAAGAAGCAGAAATGGAGGGACGACATAGTCAAGATGATGGAAGGTGTTGCTCTAGAAGACAGCAGTGACGAGGGTTACGAAAGCCCCAGCGAGAGCCCCAAGAAGAAGCCCACAATTCGGAAACCAGCTAAGGAAAAGACACCAGAGACTGAGCAGGTCCCGAATGTCAAGCAGATCCGTGAGCAACGCAAAGCCTTCGCCGAACGCAAGCACGCCATAGCCGAAGCCTTCCTCATCGAGCTCGACACCACAATCTCATCAGGTCGCATTCACGAGCTCTCGAAACCCACAGGTGGTATCAAGCTCGTCTGGTCCAAGACGCTCAAGACAACAGCCGGTCGCGCGAATTGGCGTAGAGAGCAGATTCGCATACGAACCGGTCCCCTTCCCACCGACACGCGCGTTGAGATCCGACACCACTGCTCCATCGAACTCGCCGAGAAGGTCATTGACGACGAGGAGAGGCTTTACAACGTACTTGCGCACGAGTTCTGCCACTTGACCACGTTCATGATAAGCGAAGTGCGCAACAACCCCCACGGAGCAGAGTTCAAGTCCTGGGGTCGCAAAGCTACCGTCGCGTTCGCCAACAAAGGCGTCGAGGTCACCACGAAACACTCCTACCAGATCGAATATAAGTACGTTTGGGAATGCATCTCCTGCGGCTACGAGTTCAAGCGTCACTCCAAGTCCGTCGATCCGGCGCGACACTCATGTGGCAAGTGCAAGGGCAAGCTCGCGCAGACCAAGCCCACACCTAGGGGCGTTGGCGCTAGTGCTGCTGTAGGCAAGGATGGCAAGAGGGAGAAGAGCGAGTACCAGGTCTTTGTCAAAGCCAACTTTGCGCGTGTGAAAAAGGAACTTGAGGCCGAGGGCAAGGATGCGCAGATGGGCAAGGTGATGGAGGCTGTGGCCAAGCAGTATAGAGAGAGGAAGGGTGCGGGTAGTAGTAAGGCGAAGGAGATCATTGATCTAGAGGCTGCTCTGGATGATATGAAGATCTAGATCTAACAGTTAACGAATGAAGTGCATGAACATCTCTAAGCTTGTGGGTCGTGCGTCTTTGTGTTCTTTCGTGTTGGGCTGCCTAGCAAAAACGCAAGTCGCTTAAGAGTGTTGTGGAAAAGTGAAAAGAGGGATGCAAAAAGGTGATGTTCTTTGCTAAGGCAAAAAAAAGATGTAGGTCGTCAACGGGCTCTCTAAGGCTCCTACGCTCAAGCTCCACAGGGTCGTAATACGGCCACGAAGGGCTCCCTGCAGATGTCTGCTACCGAGATTCGAACTCGGGGCAATGGCCTTTACACTCGCTCACAGCGAGTAGGATGGTTACGCTGTGAACAACCATAGCAGACTGCTTGATGGAGAATTTGAGAATTAAACATTACATATAGTTGATTCAAATCAAAATACAAAGTTGGATATGGGGATGCTGCAGCGCTGATTGAATAGTGAATGCGAGGCGATGTTCATCCGTTTGTATGGGGTGGAGAAGTGAAGGTGAAGCCGGCGATGGGAAGTGCGTGCGGAGTGAACAAATCTTAGAGCAGGCGTACAGCTCTACTTGACTACATCTGAAGCTAAAGTTAATAAGTGTTAGATAAGTTTAAGATATATATTAGACTAGATGTAGTACATTAGTAACAAGTAGACGTGCGCTGTATGTATACATTATTCTAGTAACTTAACTTTAAAACATTAAATAAGAACTAACATCCTCCAGCCTACCACAGCAACCTCCACTCCAACAGACCAAAGTGAGGCCAAAAGGTCCTCACCACACTCTACCTAGACTTATAGCGCCTTGACTTAGGCCTCCAATACCCCTGATGGGTAGCGAGAAACCGACCCTTCTTCTGAGCCTCTGTCGGCTCATATCCTTCCTTCTCAGGAGCATCTGGCAACTCACCATCAACCCCATCTACCGCTGTATACACCCAGGTCTCATCTATATGCCCAGGGCACTTTCCACAGAACTTCATATACGGCCGGTTCCATCGCCCACACGCACAGCACCAGTCCCCGTCGTACTTGGCCCGACACGGCCACGGTTCCTCTATACCCGGGCCGGGTTCTTGCACGCGGACACTGTCCTTTCGGACACCATCACACGGAACACCACCTACTCCTCCCACGTTGCCTCGGCAGACATCCGTATACTTGCCGTTCCAAAAGCCGCAACGGCAGAGCCAGTCTTCTGCTCGAGGTATGTATGGGCCGGGAAGGCGGCCTGCTTTCTTGGCGGCGCGCTTTTCATCCCGTGCTGCATTAGCAGCGAGCTTCTTCTCCGCTACAGCGGCAGGACAGGGCTTTCTGGGGTGGTAGTCGCTACTCGCACACGATACGTGGCACCCCGGATCGGGGTTCGGGTTGCGGTAGGCTGTGACGGGGCCTGGCAAGGTGGGTGCAGTCGGAGCTGCAGTTGGTACGACTCGGGGTACCTTACGGCTGGTGGCGGATTGGTCTATAGATATATTAGTTCACCATGTCTATCAATAAGACCATTGATCAGAGAAACGTACCAAGCTGGGAGGTGTCTTCCTCCGCTTTCCTCTTCCGCTCACTCCTCGCCTTCTCCTCCTCTTCCTCTTTCTTCTTCCTCTCCTCTTCCTCTTGTTGTTGCTGCTGCTGCTTCTGCCAATCTTCAAATGTGGCATCCAGGCTCGCCGAACTCGCTTCGCTGCTCAAGTATGAGCGACAAAGGATTTCAAGGTAGCACGCCACTTCTGGATCAGCAGCGGCCTTTTTGCGCATCCCGCGCACCTCCTCACCAAGCTCTTTCATTTTGCCCGCAGGCAGGTTCTTCGCCTTTTCCAGCAGCGTGTTGAGGTATTTGCCTTTTACGGCAGGCGCCGGGGTTCCACTTGCGGAGGGCATTGTGATATATGTATGGAAGAAGAAGAATTAAACGCGTGTGATGAGAGGAGAGATTGGAGCAAAGTATGGAGGATGCGACGCTGAATATTTTTTGAGGTGAGCGTTTGTTGTGTGTTGACACTATTCCACTGTCACTCACGGTGAGGAGCGCCTCCTCACCGCAACGCGTCACCGTGCAATTTCCCTTTCACCTCGAGAAAGACACGAGCTATTCCAGAGCCCTTACTTCAAACCTCCGTTCTCCTTGATACCCATAGCAACCCTCTCTCGACCTGTCCAACAAACCATGGATCCTCGTACGCTTCATCAAAATGACCCAAAGACGTAAAGAATATCCTTCCACCCTCGAACTCCTGACACCATACCAACGGATGATCATCTCCGTGTTTACCTCCTTGGAACGTCTTCGGATCACCTTTGAGCAAGATCTGGAGGTTCTTGTTCTCTCTTGGATGAGTGTGGAAGTTATACCATTCGTCCTTCCAGCCCTCACGCCCACCACAGCAGTTCATGATCTGGTGTTTCTGGCCAGACTCTTCAGGAACGATGGTACCAGGCTCAGGATCGGGATGCATGTCGAAACCTGCCCCGACCAAGTTCGTGTAGTATTCGTTGCCTTGCATAGCTGCAGCTGCGCCATGGATAGCTACGATACCGCCGCCATTCTTCACCCAGGTCCTCAAAGCTTCTAGTTCGGATGGGGTGAAGATGTCATCGCCGATGTTTTGCAGGAGGACGATGACTTGATATTGTGCGAGAGAAGACGAGGTGAACAGCGAAGCGTCTTCACTAGCTGTGACTTTAAAGAGGTTCGTGTCGCTGGCTAACTTGTGGAACATGCGGATACCAGCTGGGATAGAGTCATGACGGTAGCCTGTGGTCTTGCTGAAAACGAGGACGTTAAATGCTGTAGTTTTGGACATGATTGCGCACTGTCTGGGCGGTTGTCTATGAGGCTTCGACGCTTCTGCGTGACCTGGGAAGTTATACTGTTGTATAGCGCTACCGAGGATATGTGGCTCATGGAATATCAACTGAATTAGGCTGATTTACCATCTACCGGCGGCACATGACGTCATGCATATCAGCGCGGGCTGGAGACTAGCCCTGGAGGTACAGTGAGGAGCTGGATCCAGGTGGCTGCCCAGGTGGCCGAGGCCCTACGTGCAGTGTCGGGATAAAATACGGCGCAGGGTCCAACATCTTGCACAATATTGGCGCCTTTGTTCACTCATTCCCTCAATGATCTGTAGAATGTAGCACACAGTGCATGGAGATGTACTTATGACCCTTTGGGAGAAGGCACCTCCCAGCTGGCGGAGATGTTGGAAGACGCGACACGATGCTAGCGCACTTACCCTTGTCGACGCGCCATCCCGGTTCCGCTTCCCCCACTTTTCCATCACGTAGACCCTTCGGCATCACCACCGTTGTCACCATTCTCGTCTGCCACTCCTCGCAAGACTCACAGACAATATATTCAAACACTGGTAGCTACCCTGCATGTCACTTAGACTGTAGCTTTAGAGGAAAGCGTTAGGTTCATCTGAGCAGACAAACACCGCATCCTAATATCGAAACCTGGACTACTCCCATTTCAGCACCCTTCACATCAGGCAGAGTCAAACACTTTCACAAGAAGCCGATTTATAGATTATCTTGGATCATGAACACCGGAGCAACGGGATCAACCCACCTCGGCGACGTCCCATATCCCCCTCCACCCGAAGCATGCGAGGGCGAAGCACCTTCAATACTCGAACTGCCGCCTGGAGATTACTACATCCGAGAGTTTCTAAGCCTGCTAGAACCCACACATGCTCTGCGAAAACATGGCTACAACTTTGCACAGTTGACAGACGAGGAGATTCATCTGAAACGAAGATGCAGTAAATGCAATCAAAGTAAGTACATGCTCAGTGCCTGGATAATGCACATTGATTCTGAGAGTATTGCTAAACTCCTGGTAGCTATCCAACAGCTTAGCAAGGGCCTGCAACAAGCCATAACGCGCCGTAGTCAACAACTTCTCTCACATCCACCGGACCCCCCCTACAAGACATTGCCAAGTATGATCGTACCATACGAGAACGGTACCTCTGGATTTCAGTATTGCACAATAGAGTGTCACTACCACTCGGCACCAGTTGACCGTGCTACAAAAGTGAGCGCAGTCTGGCCCTACTTTGCCTAACCCAACTAATCTTGTTAGTGCTGGTTGTGTTGCGGAAAGCACGTCTCGGAGGCCCAGCCATGTAGGACTTCCGACAAGCACAGGATACGCGAATATCGACCAGGTGAGCTCGAACGCCTACATCAATTCCAACCGACTCCATCTTTCCGTCATTGGGATGCGGACCGCAGGATGAACGCCAAATTTGCCGTAGCGATCGATTGCGAGGTATGTTCTAGCGCTACAGAATTTGTGTAAAACATACTGACATTTCACTCCCATTCTGAAGATGGGAACAGCTCGGAGCGGCGATTCTGAACTCATTCGCCTGAGCGCCATCGATTACTTGACCGGCGAAGTGCTCATCAACAACCTTGTCAAGCCTGATCAACCAATGCAACATCTCAACACAAAGTGGTCAGGCGTTACTTGGGATCAAATGAATGAAGCTGTCAGAGAGAAGACCACGCTGAAGGGGAAGGCAAGTCACTCCGTAAGCAAGCTGAAGAAAAACATGTACTGACTTCGTACACTAATTCTAGGTTGGGGCGAGAAAACTGCTGTGGAAATTCGTCGGTCCAGACACTATTCTCGTCGGACATAGCGTTCATAATGACCTCAAGGCACTGAAGTGGATACACACAAAGGTGGTAGACTCTTACGTCGTAGAGCACAGGATCATTCAGGAGAAGAAGGCAATCGAAGCCAGAGAAAAAGAGCTTAGTGAAGAGGCGGCAAGAAGGGTGGAGGAGTGCCTTCTGGAGGTCACAGGACTAGCGACGAGTAGCATGCTCAGCCCATCGACCGATGCCCAGACAATAGGCGACTCGACCAACCCTACTGAGGGTGAGCCAAAGAAGAAGAAGAAAAAGGGCACGGGTGATCTGGCGTTGAAGACACTGCTGAAGAAATACCTGGACACGGACATTCAGACCAAAGGCAATAAAGGTCATGATAGCTTGGAAGATGCAACTGCGGCGCGCGATCTAGTTCACTGGATGGTTATGCGGAGACTCCAGGAGAAGTATGGCGTTCTGATGTAGCAGGGGCTGGAAGACGTTAGTTCTTTTTCGATGTTTTTACGTCTAATTACTAGAATAATGTATACATAGAACGCACCTCTACTTGTTACTAATGTACTACATTTAGCGCAATGCATACCTTAAATCCACCCACGGTTAGCACCTAGTAACTTCAGCTTCTCATTGTAGCCTTCGGCACTCCGAAAGGCTGGACTGGAACAATATACGACTACAACTCAGTCTTTTCAGCATCAACATTCAAGTCCCAATCAATGCCACCATCTTTGCCATAACGCTGCTCCAGCCATTCGTTGCACTTCCTGAAATGACCATTGTCAAACTACATGTGGTTAGCACTCGGATCATGGCATGTCGGGACGCGGTACTTACGAAGCCTCTCGCCGCACTTAGTGGGCTAGGATGTACGCTCTTCAGCACAAGATGCTTGTCCACCGGGATGCCCTTAGTCCTCTGCTGCGCCGGACTGCCCCAGGCCAGAAAGACGACACCGTTCGTCCGCACCTTGGCCACCGTATCGATGACCTTCTGCATGAGCAGCTCCCAGCCCTTGCCCGAGTGTGAGTTCGCTTCGCCGCGACGCACAGTCAAGCAGGTATTGATGAGCAGAACACCACGATCAGCCCATGGAGTCAGAAGACCACCCTTGTTCGGGGGTCGCTTGTAGTCTGGGTATTCCTTCTCGAGGGCTTTGTAGATGTTCATGAGCGAAGGCGGCGCAGGGTTCGGTGGACGGATGGAGAAGCAGAGGCCGTGGGCTTGGTTGGGGCCGTGGTATGGATCTTGGCCTGTGATGACGACCTTGACGGTGTTGAGGGGTGTGTGTCGCGACCTGACCAGTATTAGTCTTCGTTACTCAAGCTGGCACCCGGAATATATGGGAAACCGTACCAGGAGTACACGTCCTTCATCGGCGGGTATACAGTCTTTCCACTATCCAACTCCTTCTTCAGGAACCTTTTCAATTCGAGGAATTGTGGAGTCAGCAGCACGTCCTTGACATGCGGCAGCCAGCTCTCGTGTAGGGTGTCGAGCTCAAGTTGCAGCAGCTCTTTCTGCTCGTCTGTGAGTTTGGCGATCCATGCCTCTCTATCGAACTTTGCAGCTGCAGCAGATTGTTTGGGCGGCGCATTGGGGTTGGGTTTCGGGGCTCCAAAGAATGCGGTAATGCTGCCATTCTGCTTGGGCTTCTTGGACGCGTCCGTGGCCGCTGCCGCTGCTTTGCGCTTTAGGCTCATGGTGGCACTGTCAATCGATGTAGAATATGGGGTCAGTGGAGAAGCGTGGAGCAACGAAGATAATAGCAAGGAAACTATGACGAGTCGTAAGAGTATCGCGACGATTGCAAGCATGCTCCCAGCCCCAGAGATTCGCGTCGGGGACGTGACGTCGGACACGACCTGTCATTTCCGCCCGAGCCCGTTGATTGGCCGCCGCGTGGCACAGCAACACGTGAGTACGCGCGACGCGTTTAAATCACGTGACATGACATCACACCCTGCCCTGACACAGTCCGCAGCATGGCACAAGGATGCAAGCAGGCTGCAGTGGCTTCCCCATCAAGATGACCGTTTTTCCGGCAAATCAGACGTGAGCGGACGTTTGATCGACACTAACATGCCTCGAGGTGGAGACTGAAGCCTGATGCAGGCTCACCTGCAGGCGTGCTGCCCGCATTTGTGACGTGTTGCCTAGGGGAAGCAAACAGGAGCGCATACAGGTGAGGGGGATATAAACAGACCTACTTCGTCTTTGCTTCTTTTCTCATCCTACAACCAATCTGACCCATCTTCTCAACTACAACTCTCAATCAGACGTCTTTCAAACAACATCAACGACAATGGCTTCTTCCAACCCTTCCAACTTTGCCAACCTCCCCAAGGACAAGCTCAGTGAGATTGCCGCCAAGGGTGGCCATGCCTCTCACGGCTCTGGCAACAGCGACGTAAGTTGTGCCGGATACCCTCACTCTAATGTGCAGTGACTGACCTTTTGTGAAGGCCACGTCCACCGGCAGCAGCGGCAATGCTGACCGTAACCCTGACGGTACCTTCACCAAGGGCTCAGACCTCGCAAAGGAGCTAGGCGCTCAAGGTGGCCATGCTTCCCACGGTGCTACGGACTCCACATCGAACAGCAGCGAGCCAGGCCGTAACCCAGATGGCACATTCAAGAAGGGCAGTGAACTTGCGTCCGAGTTAGGCACCCAGGGCGGACATGCCTCCCACTAGAGGCAACACGTATCTTGTGCCTATCCTTCAGTACGACCTTCATCATATGTCCATGAACGACAGCCCGGCGTGGAGGAAGATATCTGGACATTAGGGTACTATCATGCAGGGCCATAAGCCTAATCACGAGACCATGAATGAATGCAGAGAACAGTATATGACTCAGTTGTTCATCTCGTAACGTGCTACATGTTGTGATGCTTAGGTCTCGAGGGACTCACATACATCTACAGTGTTTTCTAACCGCTATAGCCCAAGGCGTCTAGTTCCTTCTTGATCTGCTTCTCGGTGCTGATCTTCTTGACCTGGGTGTCCTCTAGTTTCTCTCCGCCGGCTTGACGCATCTTCAGCTCGTCGATGGCGCGCATCTTCTTCAGCAAGCCCCTGATCTTCTTGTCCTGAGGGTTGCCGCCATCACCAGGGCTGGTAACGGTGAGGTCAGGGGGAGGACCCTGGCTCTCGGTCTGGATCGGAGGAGGGGCCTGGGCCTGAGCTGGAGCTTGCTGACGTTGCTGCGCAGGGTTCTGGCGCTGGTTACCGTCCGGACGGGCTTGACGGTTTGGGCTGTTGCCAAAGTTGCGGTGCTGGCTGGCGCTTCGTCCTTGCTGCTCGTATCCGCTCTTGCTGCGACTGCGCTGGCGACGTTCCGGGCTACGTCCAGCTCCGTTGGGTGCATTGGCACCGTCAGCGCCGAGTCCAGCAGCCTTGTCAGCAGCCTCGCGGGCCTTCTTGGCCTCGCGCTTCTTCTTGTTCTTCAAAGCCGCCTTCGAGAGCTCTCCATCGCCATCTTGAGCGCCGGTAAGACTAACACCGCCGCCGGGGGCAGCACCCGGTGGAAGTGTCTCAGCGGCTTCCGCTCCTGGTACCTCACGACGGCGCGGCTTGCCAAATCCATTGGCGAAGCCAACGTTCGTGGACGAGATACCAGTGTTGGCATAGGCTGCGCCTCCTTCATCTTCACGCTTAAAGTGTAGGGGTGTAGCGGTTCCACGCGCTCCAGGGGGACGGTAGGCACCCGCAGGCTTGGACGGTGTCTTCTGGGTGCTGAGGTAGGCGAGCGCAGACGGATGCGGGGCCGGTACGTTGGTCAAGGGGTCGGTCAAAGGGTACATCGAGGTCGGCTGAGGGCGCCAGACGACGTGGTAGAGTTCGGCCATGTCCTCGTTGTACATAAGGCCGCCGCTGACGTGGTAGATGCGAACGCCGTTGTCAACACGAAGACGCGGGCTAGTAGTTGCCGTAAGAATGTGCTGCCCATCCGGACTCCACGCGCAATAGGTCGAGTTGGAGGTCTTGACGTGGCAGACTTTGGCGAAGTTCTTCTCAAGATCGTAGATGTCCATATCTCCAGCTAGATTACCAAAACCGGCGACGATGACGAAGCGACCGTGTGGACTGAAAAGGATAGTGTTGCGTGGGCCTAGGTCGAAGCTGTGTTGTGCGACCGCGCGCTGGTTGAAGATGGTAGTCTTTGCGGGCATGTAGCCATAGGTGACACCGAACTCCTTCGAGTTTGGCGACCAGGAGACGTCGTGAATAGGACCCTCCTTGTCGAGCTGAATACGCGAATCGAAGGTGCCGTTGGCGCTAAGAATGTACATGTTGGTCTCGCCGTAGTAGCTCTTGTTCGTCTTGTCGACCTCGGTTTGGGCTAGGACAATCAAGCTGGTACCGAGATCGTTCCACTTCAGCTGGACCTTGTCGCCCTTGAAGAAAGTCTTCTGGGATACCGGCTGGGTGAATTGAGGGACTTGGAAGACCTTGACAGCAGCGGGCATACCCTTGCGCTCCGGAACAAAAACGGCAACTGAATGGTTCTTGCCTGGGGCGAGCGCCATGTCGGTCACTCCCTCCACGCGGAGCTTGTTCCAAGGGTTGCGCAAATCGCTCGACTGGAAGAACTGCACCTCGTTTGTTACAACGCGCGCACAGTACTTCTCGTCGGACGTGTACTGCAAGTTCCAGCCACTCTGGTTCTTCTGAACGTATTCGCCGATGACTGCCCGTGATCCGTCATCTTCAGCTTCGTCGGAGAGCGTCTTCCAGACCCGGAGGTTCTTCGCCGCGTTCCCGTCTTCGTCCTTGGACGGGCGCTGCCATGTGATGAGGTATGTGCCGAGCGGGGAGAAGCCGAGCTCGTAGACGTTCGGTGTGGGGAGTGTGGTAATGACGTTGCCGACTGAGGCGTCAATCACCGAAACCTGTTCAGGTGTTGCCCATGCGAAGTACTTGCTATCGGGCGAGTAGCAGCAGCAGCGAAGGTTGCCTTCGGGTCTGTTGTGCAAGTCAGCGTGAGAACGAGACGTGGATGTGCGCGAGAACTTGTTGTGTAGTCCAGACACTTACCGTACGAATCCTGGAAGAGCCTCATACACTGGAGCAGCGTTGAAGATCCCGATGCCCTTGGCGGAGCGGTCTGCGAGTCTTGTTAGCGTGTCTCACCCCGACTGTGCGGAGGGTGCGTACAAGCCAACTGTGTGGGAACAGCCATGATAACTAGTAAAAGTCACAGGAAGTTGTACAAGTGGGCGTGGGGCAAGGTGCTGGTGGTCGCGAAGTCTGGCTCACTGCTGAGCTCGGTTTTGTGGGTTGGCGATGAGTAAGGCTAAGACAGGAACACGTCGGGGTGTGGGTATGGATTCGAGTGTGACGTAGTTCCGGGACTTTATAGGCCAAGGGCAGACTTTGGGCGCACGCAGCGGCAACGGGTGGATCGTGGAGGGAAGGAGGAACACGCGTCAGGGAATTGAAGGGTGACCGTGTGACAGCGTAGTGAAGGCGATGGCGGCCGTCGAGAAAGAAATCCGTGGGCATGCGCGCTAGTGCTCGGGGAAAATGCGGGCCGCTGGCGTTGGGACTGTGACATCAGCCTCGCCAGCACATGATGGAGGGAGCAGCAGAGTGAATGATGCGGCTGTGCACGCATTGGCGCTCGAAACTCCTCTTCTGAATACATTTTCTGACTGCATCGACGTCACCGAGTCTAGACCGATCTTGTGCCGCCTGCACAGAAGGATTCGAGATTGAATGATCTGCGGCCAGCTTTCCCTAGCAAGAGCCGCGAATCGAGAATGCATCGTCGGCGTCGTTTCGAGTGCCAGGGACTGATGTATTATTTCATACTCCCTCTATCTGCTTAGATACTAGGAGATCCCGTATTTTGTACAAACATTGCGTAGGGTCAATCGTTCGTGATATACCAACGGCGAACTCCATGTCTATCGTTATCGCGCCGGTAGCGCCATAAGCTCCCGAGCTCCCCCAACTCCACAGACCCATCGTAGCTTCCGTCCACGTCCCTTTGGACGCCGTGCCGCGAAGATGCCGACCTCGATGCCCGCCCCCTCGATTCGCATACCGATGGAGCTTCTGACTCCAACTGCTTTCGCGCAGTTCGGCGCTGTCATCGAGAACCCGACCACATCACCGTCCGCGAAGCTGCCTATCCCGCAACGCGTACCACCGCCGGACGCCGTCGCCGCCAATCAGGGCTCAGCCACCAAGTACCTCGATGTCACACACATGTCCAACTTGTACAGCCTTGCGCCGAGCAAGAAATCTGCCAAGGCAGTAATGAACATGTTTGTTTGCTCGCCGCGGAACCTCCGGCCACACGAGCCGAGCATAAGCATGCCTAGCTCGTGGGGAGACCTGGACCTAGATGAGGACGAGGAAGGATGCGGGGACTTCCAAAGGCAGCTATTGGACGTTACCATTCTCGAGAGACATCCGTTCACCACGCAGACATTCATACCTATGGGCTTGTCGCAGCAGGAACGGCACACACAGTATCTTGTCATAGTGGCTCCAACACTGCCGGCAAGCGCGTCGAGAAGGCACACAGGCAGAGCGCCGCCATATCCTACACCCCACATCGAACGTAAAAGGAGTGTCATGGATATCTTCGCGCGCGCGAGGCCGAGCCCGTACTCGAACGAGACTGTGCCTACCCAGAGCCAGTTCTCACGGCTGCACCCCTCAGCGCGACCCAAGGGACCTGGCTTGCCAGACCTCAAGAACCTTCGCGCCTTTGTTGCAAACGGCAGTCAAGCAGTGACATACGGGGCTGGGACCTGGCATGCGCCGATGATTGTGATTGGGGACCGGCCGATCGACTTTGTGGTCGTACAGTTTGCGAATGAAGTAGGCAACGAAGACTGTCAGGAGATCGTGCTGAAGCCAGACCAAACCGCTTCCGAGGGGGTTGTAGCCATGGTGGATACCGATTCGGCTGGAGCTGTGCAAGTCAAGGCTGGGGTTGGCTCTGTGAAGGCTAAACTGTGAAGGCCCTGCCTGATCTCATTCTTTTCGACGGGTTCATCTGCTCTGATGTGATCTAATACTACATTATAATGCAAGCGTTGATGAGAGGGCGGAGGGTTCAGAAAAGACCACAGCTGTAGCATGAACGAGGCTCTAACATATAAATGGACAGGCTATGGCTTCCAATAAACGCTTGAATCCGACAAGCCTTTTACTTGTCGCAATCGCACCTCGGTAGCTGCTACTGCAAGTATGACATGGATGAACCAGATCTCGCTTGTTTTACCGCATCGAAAACATAGGGCCTCCCGTTGCTCCATCTCACCCTGTCGGAACCAATAGGAAGAATGGAGTCCACTATACGTGCCGCGATTTCTTCTACTCTCGATGCCTAGAGCTCCGTCTATACAACTACACATCACTCAATCGCGAGTTCCTCCAGCCCACGAGTGGTTCTCACGTCCGTACAATGGAAGAAGCGGATCTCGTGATCATAGGTGCAGGCATCTACGGCCTCACAACTGCTCACACATACCACCACCTGTACCCTTCAGCCAAAATACTCATTCTCGACTCTGCGCCATCCATCGGCGGACCATGGGCACCGAACCGTGTGTTTCCCGGTCTCCGGACCAACAATCTGTGGGGCATGTACGAACACCCTGATTTCCCTATGGATGAAGAGAAGTTTATGGTGAAGAGGGGAGAACACATTCCTGCCGCGAAGATGTTCGACT